GATTGTGGAACGTAAGATGGTTAAAGCGTCCATGAAGACCTCCATGGACAAATTAAACATGGATGGCTAATTAATTGGTTAAAATAATCAAATAGTATGCCAATAACATGATAGGGATGTAGAAATGGATTAAAATTCCCTTAATTATACCGACCCCTCAAATGAATGTTTTAATTCTGACAAATAATGGTGTTATGTGTAACGTACATTTGAGAACCCACAATAGTAGCAGAATTATAGTCAGGCACCCTGTGTCTGGACCTAAGAGAAGTATGGACGTTGGACACGCACAATTTACTAGCCCGCTGAATGTTCAAACGTAAAATACGTACACATACATGAATATACATGTACACGAAAACGTTGTCTGCGTGCATTGTGAAAGCACTGCACACATGGTACGTTTACCGCCTAACCTGTTGATGTTGTGGTGTACATAAATGGGGCACAATGACCCATACACACAAGTATATGGATTGGAATAGCCCGGCCTAAGCATTTCTTATCCTTTGCCCTTTTTTTTAATGAAAGCACCTCTTCGCATTGTTCACAGGCTTTCTTTGACTTCCCAAAGATTGTGGGCGTGGCACCTCCCTTTAGCAATCATTTAAACCTAATTCCAAATGAGTCGTTCATGTACATGTTTGGAGGAAAACACTGTGGCTCGAAATCTGCACTGCACAGTTGGGAGCTTGCTGTCGGTCCAGACCATTTGGCTCTGGTCATCCTGACTTTCAATGTCCTAATTCATCTAAAGTTTGCATCTCAATTGGAAAGTATGCTGGTTTGTCCCATCTTTAAAGGTGTTTCCCCAGCCTGTGGCAAAACATCTGGTTGGCATGATCTCTAAACCTCCCCCAAATTGGAGTGAAGTTTCTGAACTCAGCCCAAGACAAGCATTGATGTTCTAGCAGCATGTGATGATGCCTTCTTAAATGTACGTCACAGATATGCAAATTTTCTATGTTAATGAGGTACCTCTCGGGGGCTGGGCTATTTCGCCAAAACCTTTTTTAAAAATGTTTCCCGTTTACATGTATTAATCAAAACAACAACTTTTATATACTGGATATTGTTTAAAAATGTATCATTTTCAATTTTTTTGTATATTTCAGAATATGCTAAATATTGTCGTCCTGAAAGCTTAATTCCATAAAGGACTTTTTTCCTGTCTACATGTATTAATCAAAACAACAACTTTTATATTCTGGATATTGTTCTAAAATGTATCAGTTTCTATTTTTTGTATATATCATTATATGCTGAATATTGTCGTCCTGAAAGCATAATTCCATAACAACACTGACCAAAATCAGTTAATGTGTGCGTAAAAGCTCCATGGGAGTAAAAAGGCACAATGGCTTCAAAAATACAAACAAGGAAACTCCGCAGATAGCCTGGAACCAATTGCAAGCCTAGCAGTGTTGCCCGTTATCCTAGCGGATGATATCTTTTATTTATTTATTTTTTATTCATTTATTTATTGTAATTAATAGACCTATAGGACCAAAATGAATGAAAATCATTAAGCTAACTGAGAAACACAGGCAACAAGCTGGAACGATAAAAGGCTTGCCGCATTGCTCCTCAACTAAAAGAACGGAACAGAAGCCTTCAAAGAGGCCCCACGTACATGTATGGAGTGAAACGTTTATTAAACCATATTTCATGTTGTAGACCACAGCCCCGGCCCCGCATACGGATTTGTAATATTTAGACTGCCCCTTGGCCAACAAATGAACTCCATCGGGGCCTAAAATTATGCCAAAGTTACGGATTAAGCCCTTGTGCCTCAGAAATGTTATGCCCTCGTATTTTGTGCTCACCACCTTTAAAAAGGCATTAACTTTGTCAACATTGCTGTTAAACTTTGCCACTTCGTCAGTTGACTTAAGTAGGTCCCAACTTTACTTCTGTGTAAAAGTTGACACACTTCCACTATGTGAGCATGAGATGCATCCCATATCATATTGGCAGTGCATAATAGCGCATCTGCCACTGTGAGGTGGTCAGGAACACAAATTGTTTGTGCCGCACTGAAGAATTACAATATGTGGAGACTGCAATGCTATTGATAGTAAACTGTCCTGAATGTCACAGATTTTCCAGCCACCCTTATAAACAAAATCCATCAGTTCATTTTGTATTCCAAAATTGGGTAAAAACGCGTCTCTCAAACGCCTGATAAATGAATGACCAACCAAAGAAACTTTGACCTTCATTGTCAACGCAGCTCCACCTATTGTTGCCATTGAAAGTGCAGCCTATCCTTACATGATGGACACAGGGAAGAACTTGCACATTACACAAAATGGGAACTAAAAAGTGAAATCACCTGGCGAATCACCAATTCTCACAGCGTGTTCTTAACACCAAATGTTACAAAGAAGCGCAAGAAAAACAGCTCAGTAACAGCGAACACAAGCGCTGTATTTTTGTTTTTGTCTGAAAGGCAGCATGTAATGGCGAATGAACTGCACTGAACTCATTACCTGTTGTGCATTGTTAATGAACAAAACTTTCCACCAACCACGTACATGCTCATTGCATGTCGACAGGCATGGCATGAGACTCACCGGCCAATGACCGTGCGCCACTGCCTCATGCTGCTTGCATAATTAGGGATCATTGCAAGTTTTGTTTAATACAACTTAATGTTGCTATGTAAACATGGATGTAAGGGATGAAAGCCTAACTTTTTTGGGACCGCGTTCCATAAAGCAGATGAAACTTGCACTTAATCTTTATGTAATTTGCAATTACTAATAAACACCACTTCTCACAGGCCCTTTAATCATTTAATTAAATACATAAATTTGTAAAAGTGGATCTTGCTTATAGGGTCTCAAGAAAAAAGTTGAGCTTTAAAAAACAGTGGGTCATGTTTTTTTTTAAAGAAAAAAATGCTGATTGAGAATGTCACTTAAGAGCCTGGTGCCTGTTTCATCTTGATATGGCTTCCTTACATGTATGTGTATGGGGTAACAGTTTCTGACAAATTGAGAGAAAAGTCTAACAGATTATGAAATGATGCTTTCATCTCATCGGATTGAATACAAAAAGAGTTTTTACCTTTATAACATGGTTGTTTCAGTTCATTTTAGCTCTTTGAATCGGGGGAGAAATTCAGCAGTTTTGAAGAGTTCAGTGAAAGAACTTTCTCTTTGAATGCATTTTACCAGTAGATGTGAGAAGCAGACTTGATCCTCATTTTGCTGTAGCAAGTGACAGGTTTCAATCATAGCTATCAAATAACGCAATCGGCCATAGGGTTCTGGGGTGTGTGAGGCTACAGTGCCTTATCCAACCAGCTAGAGCCAGATGGAATGCGTGGGCGTCTAGTGAGTGGGTGTACAGAGTGTTTACGCTGTCTAAGGGAAAAGGGAATAAAGGACATGGGATGGAAAGAAAAAAAAGGGGCTAGGATATTATTGAAAACCTGTCTGGCTGTTTCCTCAGGTAGATTACACATGCATCTGAAGATATCGGCTTGGGTTGTAGACTTTTTAAGCTACATGCATGTGTATTTAGCTGCAACTGTCAAGTAGAGATTTTTTATCGTGGGGTTTTGGGGAGAAAGATGGGGACTACGATGGAATATAGGGAGGATGAGACTATGCTGAGAATGGATAGGGAGGAATGTCCTCCTGTGTGTCTGTGCCATTGACTACATGTAGGATGGATGCTGACCATGTGTAAGTACATGTACTGTGCTGTACAGTGTTTGTAGCCTTGGCTCTCAGTTGGTTCTCATTGTTCAAGTTCTTGTGTTTAGAACTAGAGCTTCCTGTACATGTACATTAAGTAATCTTTAGCAGGTGGGAGGGGCAAATTAGCCAATGTACATATCACTGAGAATATGTACAGATGTAAACAGAGCTGGATAGCACAGATTCATTACTAAGATCATCCTAAGTAGTGGCTTGGCTTAGTAATGTATTAATGCATATAAAAATGGTTTATTGGAAAAATATGAGTGATATTCTGTATAGGCAGTATGTTGTCTATTCAGCTGTTCGGTTTAAAGGAGAATGGAATTTGCCACAGTACATGTATATACTTGTACATTTATTTTTGGGGGGGGGAATGCCGAGTTTTGAAGTCAAAGATACATGTGTAATTCACTGGTATATAAGATAATGTGTGGTTCTAAATTAAAACATATTGTGTTCCATTTAAATGTGTTACATGTACCGGTATGTTCCATTAAGTAAAACACACTACACCAAAAAGTTAGAAGTTGTGTTTTCTTTGTAAATACATAGATAGTGTGGAAGGAACGGTTCCAGTTTTGTAAAAGGATCAAACTTATGAAATATGATTATTTCCTTATCTGTCTTATTGCAAATTCTGAATGGTAATGAAATCAGAAGGATTGGAAATGGCTTATGTCACGTGTGGGCGTCTACCAGTCAGTGGCCTTATTCATGTAATGACTATACCACTGAGTTTCCCCGCGTTGGCACTTTCTTTGATTTCCAACTTGTTTGGTCACATATTCAGTTGTAACCTATAGTGGTAAAAAAAGACAAATAGAGAAGGAAAATTATTACACACACCTTAAAGAAATAAAAAAATAAAGGGCCAAATTTGAGAGGGTTTAGTAAAATTCATTCAACTCCAAATATTAAGTACAATGTACAATGCAATAATTTGTCAATTACCATCCAGATTTCACCAGGTATATATGGGTTCATATAATAAGAGAAGAAGTAAGACATTTTCCATTGACCATAGGTTCAGTATCAGTGCCTGACCTGACATTAAGTGACCCTGGCAAACATGATGTACAGGTGGCCAGTTACCTGTACACATATTGTTACATACATACACATAGAATGTACATGTACATGTATGTAGGAACCTATGCTGCATGGCCATTCCCCTATTGTCAGTCCTTCATATCATCAACATCAATTTCGTAATCTCACACTACATTTAGGAAGCTAGTCTTTATTAACGTCCACTTACTTACTATATGACTTGTCTTCTCCCCCTAGAAGCTGCAGCTGGTTCGAAAAATTGCCCTTCAACTCCTTCAAGTCCTGGGATTCTTACGTCAAGAAAATGTCATTCATGCTGACCTCAAGCCAGAGAATATTCTGTGTCGGACAGGTGAGTGTCAGTAATGTTGCCTGAACTTTCTGTTCCAGTTGGATGTTCCCTCTTTTTTTTACATGTGCATAAATATTAAAATTATTAGTGTAAGTACTGTTGATGTGTCAAATGAAATAAAACCATATATCAGTCAAAAACAAAACAGAATAAGTCAATCCCCTTTCAGGACCTAGATTAGCACAACTACATGTATAATAAATACTGTAGTCTGAATCCTTGCCAATCCACTCAGTGTGGGATTATTTGAAATTGCATGGAAATTAAGGAATATTAGATAAATACAAAATAATAATCAAGAATAAAACCAGCCACATACATGTACTAAAGCTTAACAGCAACAGAAACAGAAATAATATCTACTGAAACAATTCCCCTCCCCGAAATAAATAACAAGGAATAAGATAAAAGAAATGCACACAAAGATTAAGGGTCAAGAAGACTAAAATAAATTTCAAAATATAGACAAAACGAACAATTCAGAATCAATCAAATAGTAAAATTATTGTGTGGGTGTTTTGTCAATGCAGTGATCTTACAAACGTTGCAATATCGAAATAAAAAGTTTAATCTATCTAGAAAATGCTCAGGAAAAAGGAAAGATCACAATGCATGCTGGTGTTCTTGTAAGTCAGATTCAACTAAAAATTCCTTTTTAAGAATGGAAATTACGGTAAAGAAATTACATTTTCTTCAAAGATAATGAAATCAATTTGGAGTAAATTACGAATGGCTAGGATAGCTATGTTACATGTTATACCAGAGTATTTGGAAACATCCTCATCACATGATACCTGTTAAAAGCAGCAGAATTTTCTCCACTTTATTCAAGTGGTGTCATCACAGTCATGATTGAAGTGATGATTGTGTTTATTTCTCATACAGAGACTGTGTGTCGATTACTGATACAGAGGTTGGCAAAATCAATTCTATGAATCTTTTACAACAATTTCTCGATTTCAGTGTTAGAAATTAGTATCATTTTTCTTGTTTCAAACCATGCTTACTGCAAGTCTGATAGGTTTTAACGTTAATACGAGCGATTCACAATAGTGCACCACAAGAGTTTGCAACACGGCCAATCATAACGTGCAAAATTTGTCGACCCTTTCCAAACACGCATTGGGTTGACAAATTTCGCGCATTGTGATTGGCCAATGCGTTGCAAACTCATGGTGGCATACTAATGTGAAACGGCCGTATTGATATGAAATCTGAAATCATTATTTGAGGGCATTAGAAGCTTTATAACCTATCACTTTCAAAATATTTACAAGGGCTGTGTTGTTAGAGACATTGTCTTTTCCTGACAGGAATGTATGAAAAAAATAGCAAAGTGTTCATCTACTCTCTAAGTTTCAGTGTAAATATTCACTCTGTTCAAATGAAAATTAATTCCATTCTATAAGAGTTACAGACTTGTGGTCCCAGTAAAACTTAAAATGTAGTCACATGAATAAACCAAGACTTAACGTGAGTTTTACTTGGAGTTATTTGACTTTACGTATTACCAAAGCATTATTGGCAAATATCATCTAGGTGTTTTTCTTTTATCATATTCCTCTATACAAGTAGCATTTTAGAGTTGTGTTATATTTTGAATAGTAGAGGCTGCTGACTGCCGTCTTTCAAGTATTTCAAGTTTTACCATTAATCAGAATCCATTTACATGTAAGTCATTTATTGACCTTAAATGCCAGACAGTTCCTACATGTACATACATGTATATAGTCTCTCAGTATTTTGTACAATACATTTCTCCCCTCACTGATAACATTACACAGGGTATGTGTACTTGCTCATGTATACTTTTACAGTGTACATAAAGAGTGGCCTTAAGAGGTAACAGTTCCAGTCATTATATACCAGTATGTACATGTATATCAGCAAATTTGGTCTTGATAACAGAAGTTAGTGGTGGACTTTATTCTGAGCTGATGGATCAGCTCATGCAAGTAAAATGTTCATTCCTCCTTGAGACTATCTTGATTAAGTTGACTTCTCTCCCCCTTCCATATCTGTCAAGCTTTGTACAGTCCTTGTTTGTCCCAGGGACATCTTGTTACCAAATGACACATAAAGATTCTGACCTGAAGCCATCCGGGGAGCAAGCTGTACTTTTCTCCAGCAGTTGTTAAAAAGCCAATGCACTTTCTTTCCTTTCAAGAATGTCGTGAGTTCCGCCAATAATATTGGAACACATTTTCAAATTGCATTTCACAATTACCAATAAATCTTGACTCTTTGTGTTCCTTACCGGTTGAGCAACAAACCAGATCTGATGAGCAAGTCTGCCTGTAATTGCTGAAAATATTTAAAATAGGTCCATTAATGGTAGCCAAGAACAGACAAGATAACCTTGTGTTGTGTCTCTGTACTTTCAAGATACAGAGTAGTTGGTTGCTGGCTTACATACATGGAAGGTCACTGTACTCTCTAGGACTATCTGATTTGCACAACTGTTCTTAGTCTCTAAGTGCAAGACCCCCCAACGGATGTCAGATGATCAGTGACCAACCCTTGTCTTACTCTTATCAATTTTAACTTGTCCTTCAATATTTGCAATTTTAATAAGCACTCAAGGACTCAACTGTGCAGGAAGCAAAGAAAGAATCTTTGATTTATTTGCTGTTAGTGAATCAAGTTATCTGATTGATCTCTACTTGACTCATGAGATAACCTTCCTCATCTGCTTCCAAATTTATGAGACTCTGTGCTGGTGTGAAGGTATGTGAACCATGACTGGATGGTGGGAAGAGTGCAAAGTCGGGGTTTTGAGGTGCAACTTGTCAAACGTTTTTTATCTCATGCCCTTGTCCAACCCTCAGTAAAATTTACTTTGTGGTGATACGAGGCAAAGTACCAGGTAATACCTGATTTTTTGGTTTCACTAATGAATACAAACCATTGTATCAATACTGCTGGTAGATTTTTTCATCCATCAATATTGTGTCTAAGGTTGCTTTAAAATTTGCCGTATTTTAATCACTAAGGTCTTCAAGTTAAATTGTAAGCACCTGGCACTGATCTGCATGTTCTGTACCTTAAAACATTTGAGTTCACTACTGAGCTGATTGATTGAACATTTCTGTGAAATTTTAGATTCTAGAAGACACTAAAGGTACATCTTGAAACTAGAAGACAAATTGAAAATCTGCAAGACTGAAATTCCAGTGATCCTGATGATTTTGAGGGAAAGATGTGCCACAATCATTTTATTGAACCGTTAACTTTGTAGGATCTATCTACAACTGTACTTCATAAAATGTCTTTGGGGTCATACTGTTCATGATAGAGTCAACATCTTGATGGTTAAGTGTCAGAAACCTAATCATGCATAACCACAGCTCATCCTTAAAAAGCATTATTAACTAGCGCCAAGGTTAGATCTGTTGAGTAGAATCCAAGTTTAATATACGAGCACCACAGGTTGCTTTGTTGCTCAGCCATTGATGTTAGATGATAGCTTTTATTTCTAGTGATCTGCATTTCTTCAATGGGTTGTTGTTGGGATGCATGGTAACTCTGGAGAAGAGTGTGTGCAGTCAGGTGATAAGAAACTTGAGAAGCTGTAATCAACTACAGATGGTGGTTTGTAGTGTTGTCAGGCTTATCTTTGTGCAGATGCAGTAAATGTGACCACTCTGACCACCTGTATGTATCAGATACTGTGTCATATACATGTACATGTATAGCCATTGTGACAACAGCATGTCAGCATCTCATTATTGGATTGAAAGTCAAAGCAATTCGTTCTATTGAAAATCTTGATACTGAGACAAAGGAAGTGACAAAAACAAGTTCATTTTTTAAATCGTGGTTGCCTGAATTGGATTACAGTGGGTTCACACCCAGCACCTGGAAAAAAACTGGCACTGGGTATTTACATTGATTTATTCAGGAATCACTACAGTAACAGTTCAGAACCACCCATATAATTAAATGACTAGAAATGTCTTGTATTATGTGGGGCTTTGTTCAGTCTTTGGTTTGATGATGAAGAGTTGTGTAATGTTTGAAATGCTGAAGATGTGCACATACGTATACAGGACATTATGAGAAGGTCTGTCTACAATTGCTACAGTAGTTTCTTCTACATTGGCCTGAGAGCCTACAGTCCATGGGCTAGGATTTGAAACACTGTCTATCTCTCAGCTGTCTTTTCAAATGACCTGTCTTGCTGTTAGTGTTACTCATAAAACTGTTAATGTTGCAAACTTGCATTCATGTATTTCTATACATGTACATACATGTGGACACATATGTAAGTGTACATGGACATGCACATGTATGCATCTATTGATATTACCAGCCTTGCATGGAGGTGTTTTGTTTTCCTGTGCGATAGTTAAGAAAACTTGGGGCAAATACTCATTTTTTCTTGAATTGTCAAGACCATTTTGAGCTAGATTTTGTTGATGATTTCCAAGGGCTGTTCCTCTTCATTTTGTGACAAAATAGAGTTGGGTTGCTGTAGTGGCTCTTTCCTTGCCTTCCACCCCTGCAACCCGGAATGGAATCCCACCTAGGTCAGCATGAGAATTGGGTTTCTGTCCCTGCCTGATTCCATGGGTTTTTCCCAGAATACCAGTATTTATCCTTGGTTTTCCTCCCACCTCTAAAACTGAACATTTCTTCATTGTCTTCGTAATTGTCACTTCATCATGTTATTGGTGCTAAATGTGCTGTTGTGAAATAATAACCCTAACCCCAAAATACCTATATCAACAACTAGGTTAAAAATTCATGATTTGCACAGAGCTTTTACCTCTGATTCTCTTTCATCTTCATTTTTGCGACCATAACTGAACAATGTCATTATAACTGAAAAGGGGAAAGCTTGTTTTCAACATTTAGTTGTTCAGTATGTGAGGACGCGATTGATCATACACGCAACAGCATGCCATGTCCAATCCGCTTCGAAATGGACCTCCCAAGCTATGGCTACGCCTGCCGTCAACCACGTCTCCACGCACATGCAAATGTATTTCTGTCAGAAT